ATATGGGTTTTTGAAAAATATCTCTTTTGCAGTTTATAACGTAGCTATCCTTAAATGAAAACAATCTGCAAAGTTGTTGATCAAAAAAGTGCATGATAAATAAAGATACTGTCTCTCAAAAGAGATTCGATTCTGAATCGCCTTAACGAGTCGTCATATTTTCGAATCTTTTGCCTGTTTACCGGTATACGTCACTGGGTAACACATTTGCATAATCCCCGCCTGCCCGCGAAATACGAACACTCCTCTGTGCCAATCACAACAGGCTTGGCCAGCTGACCAATCAGAGCAGAGTAGGCTTATGGAAGGGAGGGGTTTGCTCCGAACTTCCTTAGAACGAATCGCTTCGAAATCATTGGCAAATGACTCTTAATATTAAATGTATATTCTGAGAAAATTACAATGTTTTCTGACCTTAGATGCATTTAAACCTGTTGTAGCGGACTCCAACCCAATATTAGGACACTTTAAAATACCATATGACCTGCTCTTTAAGCGGATTGCAATCATATTCCGGCCTCATCTGCTTGCCTATGTAAACTATGCATCATTAATATAGAGAATATTACCGTTTTAGATATATTAAGGCACTTTAAGTGTTTTTACAACGTTTTGTCGCACTGTTTAATGATTGAAATATTGCCGTGGGTGCTTAATATGGATTGCAAATGGCCAAAACTTGCATTTTGTTCACATACCTTTGTTTTATTCTTTTGAGAGGTGATCTAAATGTTTGCGGCTGTGAAACAGATGGAAAATTGAGAGGCTTGTGCTGCAGTTCTATGGCTGTTTTGCCCTCCAGGTCTTCGAGCCGGTCACGTGACTGAAAGCTATGAATTGCACGGTCTTTGTTGACCAATTAATCAGTATTCAGTGGATTTCAGTAAATTCAGGGGCAATTCCCAAGTAAGGCAGTCTCTGCTGACTAGGAATACCACAAATGCGGAGGCAGATCTGGTTCCTTGGGCAATTCTGTCCATTAGGAACTTGTACTTCATACTAAGGAGAGGTTTGATCATCCTTGATCAACCAGAATATTGCGTTATGCTCTTTTGAGGTCAAAGTTCATGAATGCTGTGTGTTGTAATTACATTTTAAGGCTGGGATAAGCTACACAACTTCTGAACAGATTTTTAAAACTGTAGGCATCATACACTTGCTGACTTTGTAAATGGCTATAAAGGAAAAACTCTGAATCATACATTAAAGATTGAGGATCACACACTATCAGACTTTGAAGCTATTCTGAATACAACAAACTCAGTCTTGATGGAATTATATTCTGATACTTAAAACAATCCTTTCATACACTGTGATTTTCAATGAAATCTGCAGACTGGCTCTGACTGTCTCACACATTTTTGCTCACTCTGTGTTTTTTTTATTTTACAGTGGTGTAATTTTGGTGCAGTAGCACGAGATAGCTTGATTTCAAACTTTGAATTGAATAAAAAATGACAAGTAAGCAGTCAGTAATAAAATAAGAACAAATAAAGAAATTAATAATGATAGCACAAATAAAAAATAACGACAGGCCTTCGAATTAAATGAATTGCTTTTTAGTTTTTCAGGTAGGTCTAACAGTAGGGTTAAAATATTTAACTTTTTTTTTTTTTACCAACTCGACAGACGGCACCCCGGTTGGGAAACACTGTTCTAGACTGTAAATCGGGGCAAAAATCTGGGCAAAGGTTGTGTAGTGTATTGCAGTCCTTAGTTTAAAGATCGCATCAAGTAAGAAAATCATACAGCTACCAAAGCCCTCTACATCTCAGACTAAAGTCTTCATTCGCTGGTTCACAGGTTTTGGATGTTGAAAACCATTAGGGCCTTTCGCACCGCTTTAGTTTCAGAACTAAATGTACAATACTCAAGTACTGGGACGATTTTGCGCGAACTATTTCCCAGTACCATTTAAAGGGTTGAATTCGCACTGAGAGTGTGTACTAGGAACCGGTCGACAGCGACGTCATTTGTGCG